AAGAATGTATGTTTTGTTTGATGGCACATTATTTGTCTAAAGTTTTGCATCTTATGCTTCGTCTATTTGTATATTGTAAAAATACTTTTCCTTTAGAAAAATGTTCTATTTGTTATCATTAAAACTTAAAAGTTTGAGGGATTTAAGATTTTCTTTTAACTTAACAATCTCCTCCTTTTTTATGGTGACAAACATGTCTTTGAAACTAAGGTTTATAAGCTAAAATTTGATATTTAGAGTTGCATGAGAAGTTAAGCAAGTTGTTTATGTTGTATTGTTGTAAGTTGATGTTGTATATGTATGTTTATATTTTTTAAGCTTACCCTTTCTTTTCCTTATAGCTGAAACTACATTGATCATATTTGATGTAGAAGCAGGGCAAGATTAGCTTGTTTGGTTGGATGGTGACTGGTGAATCATGCTGGTGATGACTTTTTTGTTGATACTACTCTGATGTAGCATAGTTGTTGTATAAACATTTGATCGACGATTAGTATTATTTTATGTGCAATGATGTAGTTCATGTGTATGTAACCCCTTAGGGGTTGTTTTTGGTTTTAAATCTTTGTACCATTTACTTATATCTACTCCATGAATATTCAAGTGACTATTACATGGTATTCCTAAGTTAGTTATATGTCATTTAAATCTTTTCGTTATATTTTAATTATACTGTACTAAGTGTAATAACATATCAAATCGTTACAATAGATATCATATTTTTTAATTCTTAAGAATATAAAAAAACTTATAAATTAGTTTGATCATTTAATCACATGTCTTCTTTATTCTTTTATATATGAGTTTAATAAAGTTTTATATTAAATTAAATAAATAATTCTTTAACAAAAAAATAATTTCTTAATACTTAAATTTCTTTATTTCATAATAATCTTAAAATGTTTATAAATCATCACCAAAATAATATTTAATTAATGAAATTGAGATAGAGACACAAACAAGTGAGCTTCAATATTATATATTTCTCAACATAATTAACACACCTAATCCTTTCAAGAAATATTATATCGAGCTTCCAATATGTACGAACAAAATGTTGGGGCCTTGATTTCAAACTCTAACACATATAAAAGGCTATAGCCTAAAGCAAGCAAACAATAAGGTTACTTTTGACCATTATTTGTAGCAACACATAAAGAAAGAGAAAGCGCCAACTGTTAGGACAACTAAAATGTGTAGGACGAATCATACATAATTCTTCAGAAACCAAATATTATGGTCAGAAAAAACCTGTGAAAAAGCAACACTATAAAACGACATTATTTGTTGCAAGTACAATCATGACTGCTGCAAAAGCTTGGTACAATGGGAATGCAAATTAAATATAAACATAATTAAATACCATAGGAAGACAAACATCCTTCACACGTATACACTTTACAATCAAATCTTCATTGTAATCAATTATATTAATTTATAAGTCATATAATTAGTATAAAACTTACCCTTGTCTATTCTTTTGGGTAAATCATGTCTGCATTCTACAATCGATAAGCACAAACCACGCGAGCTCCATGAATTTTGTAACACGATTTCTTTTTCTTTAATTTTTAATGTGGACTTCTACTTTTAACAAAACTCTGGTAAGAGCTCATATTGACTATGACAAAAAGAAAGTAAACAAATAAAGAATAATTATTATTTTATAAATTAATTTTGTAAAATTAAATTAATTCTATAACTTATATTTTAAAATGATATGAAAATTTATCTTAACAATTATTATTAAATTTACTAAATTGTTCGTTATCGGTTATTATCGAACTACTCTCATATGTTTAATTCTAATCATAAAAAAAATATTAGAAATTTTAACCGATGATATAACAAAAATAAAGTGTATGAATCAATGTAACATGAATTCGAGAAAAAGATTAATCTCTTACAATATAATGAATTGAAGTTTAAATTTTTATTAGAAGTAATGATCATGTATGCATATCTGATATTTGATCATGGAATAAAAGAGGATACATATATTTGTGGGAAGAAAAGAAGAAACTGGAGGATTTAAATGTGGAAATTAAAGAAGTAAAACGAATACCCTTTTACGAAAAGAGCAAACAAATCATTTCCTTAAGACAAAAAGTAGTGTAAGTTCCAATCAATATTTTATTATACACGAAATTGTGCACTGCCAGTGACTAATTCTCTGGAATTCCATGTATCCAATAATTATAATAATTACAGAGCAAAAATGAAGCCTAGCCCTATGATATCACCTATTGCTAACAATGATATACCAACCACAAGAATAGGATAATTTGCATGGAAAGTTTTTCGTTTTGAAGTCAAAAGAAAACATTTTGACAACGCAACTGAATTAGTGTTTAAGAATAAATAAAGGGTACAAAAGTAGACAAGCAGAAGAGAAGAGAAGCAGAGACAAAGTATCACCCTGAGAATGAAAAAAGGATTCTTTATGTTTCTGCTCCTTTTGTCATGGTTTTGAGAAATACTGGATAGAGCTTTAAGGACATGTCAAGCTGGAAAGATTTTTTATTTATTTTTTATTTTTTACAACCTAAATACCTAACATGATGTTGGGCTTCTATCCAATCATTAATTGATTTTATATCTTTTACAAAATAAGGCATATGACCATACTCTAAGTCACTTGGGTTGCCTTGCCAGTTGCTACCCATCTTGTGGAGGGAGACTTTAAGACAAACAGATACCATCTAATAAATGTTGGAATCTATACAACGAACAGTATAATTGATTCGAGAGGAGGACTAAAAATACACTCTTTTAACATGTTCTTTCAAACACACCTTCAATTATTAGTTAAATTTTATTAGAAATATGACAACACATGAGCATATGAATGCTCCAAAACTTTATATTGAAAAATATCCCTGAAATCAGTGGAAGATTTTGAGTTAATATTGGGGGGGGAAACTGTGCATTCAACTCCGGTATATAAATATATGAACTAAAGAGGAAGGTACTTGTTGGGTTAATGCATATTACTGGGTTAAAAGCTATAATTAACAATATGGGACCATTTATTAGAGCAACCTTTACCAGACAAAAGCTGTAACTAATAGTTGGGTTTAGTTTATCTAACCTAAAGGGATGTACTTTAGAAAAACAAATGCAATATAATCACTGGTCGGGAAAGTAAGTGGTTCCAATTTTAATAACTTCATGATTTATTGTTTATTATTGTTTTAGTACAAAAATTACTTACAAATATCTATTGGTTGTTCATATCCAAAATACTCAAAAAGTATAATTTATCGTCTCTTAATTCTAGGAGGTCATAAACTTGTGCTTAAATGTATCAAAATGTCATATTTTTTTAGAAATAATTTCAAAAAATTTCGACATGTGATCTTAATTGTAGTAAATATTTATGGTTCTTTGATTTAAATCATTAGGTATTTGTGTTGGTTAATTGGATAAATAATTATCATAATGTTCCATATATTTCCAACTTAAATAATTTGCTTTAATCAATTTTGGACTCGAGAGTTTATACTTCTCAAGCCTCAAACACATAAGTATAAAAAAATTAAGAGTTAATCATGCATACACTACCCGTGTAAAGTTTTTTACACTGGCAACTAATCATATCTTTTAAATTATTTTGTTTTATGTTTATTTCATTAAATAAGCAACTAACATGACACTATTAAAAGATATGATTGGTTGTCAGTGTAAAAAAAAATTTATACTAACAATGTATAGATGATTAACTCAAAAATTAATGTAACTGATATATTCAACTTATCTTGATTGACTTTAAGGATACAATTACAATAAGTGAAAAAATATCAAATTACATAAGTATAACTTTTATTATTATATTATTCAATAACTTAAAAAGTTCTCTTACTTAAATCAAATCATATATAAAAAATTTATATTAATATGAAATTATTACACGTCTCTTTCATATAAATTAAAATTCACATAATATATATATATATATATAATGCATTAAATTATGAATAATATGATTACATTTTTATTATAATTTAACTTTTAAAAAATTTGATATAAATATTTAAGATAATATAAAATTTTAATTTAAAGATTGAATCGATAAAATTCATCTTTAATATAAAATTATTAATTATTTAATAACTAGTAAAATTTACATAAAGATAATTTAATTTCTCTCAATTAAATCAATAAAATTTACTTTGATATGAAACTATTAACTGTATAATTGTTAATAAAAAATTACAGTTTATATATTTAAAATCAATTTTGTTAACACTAATCTGACAGTCAATTTCACTCAGCGTCGAATATTCCGAGTTTCCAATGCAGGCACCACCAGTTCAATCCATCCAAACTCCAAAGCAGGTCTAAACAGTAAGTTCAACGTACACATCATACATCGTTATCCTTATACTCTAATTTTTTAATACCAGTCAAAGGAGGGGGAAAAAAAGCCATCAAACTCCAGGTTAGCACACAATAAGGAAGTAGGATTTAAATTGTTTTCTTTTGGCCAATCACACCTACCTAACACCAAAAATATTTTCTCAACTCACCAAATAAAAATAAAAATAAAAACTTGCCAGACTTGCCAATATGCCGTAGTATTATGACTTAGTGAGCAGCCTATACTAATGTCAAGCTATGAGTTGCCACTTACCAAGGAAACTAGCTAGGGGAGTTGAATTCTCATCATAAATCAGTAGTTTTAAAAGTTTAATATTCCCCCATCTCATAATAAGTTCAGTGTCGAAAGGAAAAAAAAATTATAATAATATTTTGATATAATATTAACTAGCTTTTTTATTTTTACTCGTGATAATATTATTTTGTACCGTCTTTTGCAAAAATTAATCATAAAATTAATTTAATAAATTTACTATTCCCTTCAATCCATTTATTACTTTTTCTATAACCTAAAACACACTAATTAAAGTGATGGAGTAGTAACCATCTTGAGCCTTTCAAGCTTTCTTGAACTAATTAAAGCACTTGACCCTAACAAAAGAAAACACGAAAGCAGATCATTATTGTAATTTAATTAGCTTTATTTATTTTACATGCTTCACTAACACTGGTCACAACAAACTTTGCAATGTAATGAATGTTTAAACGGTTAATTATTGATGATAATTTTACAATATACTAGGAGATACTTTCCAACAGACTGCAAGCCTATAAACAAGAATCAGAATTCTGGCAATCTACATACACAAGTCGAGAACTGATTTGACTTCAAGAAGCAGCATTTGAAACCTTTGGGTGATCCATAAACAAATTGATGCTATACAAAAAAACTATTTCAACCAATCAGCAGCTGCCCTTCCAGCAAAATAACTAAGAATTTTCACCCAAAAAAAACAGAGCTTAATGGCAAATTATTTTAATCCTACAATGTCCAACTGGAAGCTGGAATCCCTTGTTTCTGGAACCAATCAGGCATGTGGAACTTTTCATAGAGCACAGGCCTAACATCATTCTGCTCAGAAAGTTGCTTAAGAAGTGGAAGAATGACATCTAGAAGCTGTTACACGTCAAAACACAGAAGATGGTGAACAATTTAACAAAATATCACATGATTTTATTTTATTTACTTGGCATTGGTGGCTTTAATTTTCAAAAGCACAGATCTTTGTACCTGTGTGTCATGAGGTTGTCCAGCGGAAAATGGAATGCAAGGAATTCCATTCACTGGTTGCAATACAAAGCTAAAGGGATTATTGTCTACAATAACAATGCGGCAAAGATCCTTTGAGATACAGGTGAGATCCTTAACATGTTCCCGATATTCCCTGCAAGCAACAAGCATTTATGAGAGTGCTTGTACAAATTCATCCAGCAGACTCCACTCCGAACTTCAAACTTAAAGACAGAGACCCCAAAATAACTTAAAAATTACAGAAACGATTCAGATTACTTAATAACACATTGTTAAAAAAACTACAAAGAACACCTCGCAGTCTGAAAACACTGAAAAAGAAGCAACTAAATTGTAACATCAATGACAAATACAATGATTCCAGTAACTGCTTATTGAGAATTTTTTTTTCAAACTGGCTCTAAAGAGTTTTGTCTGTCTCGTCCATATTCATCTCTAGTGATTATAGTAAAACCAACAAAAGAATGAAGACATTAAACCAGAAAATCCAATGCATGTAATCCCTCGGGAGTCTGAAGATATTACAAAAAGCCTTTAGGGGGGGGAGGAGGAGGGGAAGGCAACCACACTCTGCATAACAAACAATATTTATATGACCACGAGGAAACATTCAACTTGTTGAAGTAACATCACAACCACACATATATAAAATAAACATATAGCTGAAAACAAAAAATAATTAACACATTTAGAAATAATTAAAGAGAATGATTGCTGCATGGTTCATCTATAATTAGCACAAAACTTTCATCCATTTAACCATGCAGCACACTGCAGTCTAGCATAGGCTTGTTCAGTCCACTAGAGTTGGGCGTCATTATATTTATAGAGAAGACGGGCATAGAACATGAATAAACAAGGAATAAAGAATCATAAAGATTAAATGAATTATAATATTAATTCACATAGTAGGCTGGCTGCCAGCAACAAAACAGAAAGATTAGTCACATAAAAACAGAATAGTGGATTGGAAACAAGGTAGATGCATCTTACGTGCTAATTGTTGAGGGCCGATAAAGTCGTAGACTGAATCGATTTTCCACATCTATTCTGTCAACAAGGGGTCTAGCATAGCCTGTGACAATTTAGGGGCATGTCATGTTCAGAAATGTCAAACATAATTTCCAAAAGATGAATATACACACAAGTGCAGCAGCTTAATATTTTGAAACAAACCTTCAAGACCAGCAGTAAACAGCACCAATTCAGCAAATTCACTGAGTTTTTTTAAGAATTCCTTCAACCCAGGGCGTTCAAATACTGTAACATAATTGATTTTTGGTTTGGCTTCTCCTTCCTTGAAAATCCAACATGCCCAATTGAGGATATTATATTCTAGTAATGGACAAGCAATCAAATACAAGTTACAAAGTAACTTACCTTGTCTATCGATACACATTCCAGCTCAAACCAATTCAAACCACCTTCAATTGCTTGAGTCCGTAGAGCAGCTGGCAAACTTGATGTCTCATATGCACATACCAGTGTTTCATCCAAGTCCAGCACCACCTACAAGTGCACATGAAAGATCAAAATCTGCATTAGCAACTGGAAATTTGTGATAAATGGTAATAGAAGATTTGAGGAGCAGAAGTAACAAGGAAACAACATAGAGAATGACTTCATCAGCATTCTTCTAACAACTCATCAAAAGAATACCCTTTATACCACTTTTCCTTCTTTTCTGACTAACAAAAAACAGGGTTGCTTTTCCATTCTATTCATGAATTCGCTTCAGAAACTTTATTCATTCAAATGTTAAAAATCAAAACACCGTGCATCTCATATTCAACATGGCACTCTTGGACTTCAACCACAAAGTGCGTACATAGTAGCATTAGTTGCATGCCAAATTTGGGCATTTCTAAGTTCATGCCAAAGGTTGATGTAAAGATATGAAAATTAAAACAAAACAACAACTCAATGAGAGAAGCTACAAGCTAAATATCAATAAGAGAGTTTACAAAACAAACCAAGGAATCAGTGCAGTACACAGCTATATCCGAACAAAATAAAAAACATCATAATTCCCTCCATCATAACAATCCGAAACGTAAGGGGCTTCAGCATGAACTGCATGTGATATGACAAGTGCGACTCAACTTTGAGGCAAGCAACAGAAATTGGTACCCGCAATCAAACCCAGAGCACAAGCTTCTACAATCACAGTTTTAATATCCCCAAACAAGAGAAAGCATTTAAAAGCCATTTCTAATGTCTTATCTTCTGTCTTAGGTGCTTCGAAAACCCTTTGAGCAAGTCAACAAGACCATCACAATAAATATGCATGTCCGTGTAAAATAAAACCAAACCACGACCACAGAACATCCAGCTCTTCGCGTTTAACAAAATCCAAACACAAAAACAAAAAAGCATGAAACTGAAAAGAAAAGGAAAAAAAACACACACACACACACACACACACACAAAAAAGCAAATGAAACCGCAGAAAAGAATATATCTTTGCAAAAAAAAAAAACAAAGAAAGTTGAAGAATAAACAATCATCTCCATCCCCAAAACACGGATACAGCCGTGTAACACACTCAGTGATCTTTATTCACTACAAGTATTTCAGCACCCTTTTCAAACCCAACTCAGATCAAACAAGCTAGAACCAAAAATAAACTAAAATCCTGAAAAGAAAGAACTCCAGCGCGAGAGAAACAATCAATTAAAAAAAATAATAAAAAAAAAGAGTAGATACCGTGAGTTTCTGAAGAGGACGATGATCGGCGGGGGAATAATGAAGGGGTGAGATTTGAACAGCGGAGGGAGGCGGCGAATCGTGGTCGACAAGCTCAACCGACGGAAGAGGCTTGAAGGAAGAAGAAGAGGAAGCGGAAGAAGAGAGTAAAGGGTAGTGACCTAAGGCTCTTATAATCTGATAGAAGATCTGAAAGAAGAAGGCCAACCAACTCAACAGTGCCCTCCACACCTGCTGAGTCCTCGGCGAGTACACCTCCGCCTGAGTCAACTCGCCCATCTCCCTAACCCTAACCCTAACCCTAACCCTAACCAAACCAATAATTATTATCCGATTCTTCTCTGCCTTTAAACAGCGATTGTGCCGTGCTGCGTACGCCCTTCTCTCTCTCTCTCTCTTTCTTTTGCGTGTGATTGATTTTCAGAGAGATGTGGTCATGCTACTGCAAGAGAGAGAGAGAAGGAAAAGGGCAACGGAGTTCCGCACGCGCTGCGGTTGCGCGTCACTCCCCTTGCTGCCGCGTTCGTCTTCGTCACAATAACAATAACACTTTTTTTTTTTTAAGTAATTTCGAATTTTGCTTTTTCTGCGCTCATCCACCATTCATTAATACGGACTATGCCACAAAAATCAACTTCCTTCGCCCTCTTCCATGCAAAATATTGTTTTCCAACTTTTCGGTTATGTTTTTTTTAGAAATAATTTGTTTGCTAAAAAGTAATTTGTTTTTTTTATGCTACATAAGAATTGTAGATATCAAATGACTCGTCAAAACTATCCCGTATAATGATGTTACAATCCTCCAATTAAATACTATTATCTATTTTCATGATTCATAATTTTTGGACACAAAAAAAAATTTCTTCTATCAATTTTTTTTAATGATTAGTAAAAGTTTAGTAGTATTTAATTTAACATAAAATTTTATTAAAAAAACTTACCTTTAATATTAAAGAATATCTTTAAATAGATTTGTCTAGTAAGATTTTAATAATGATAGAGAATATCGAATTCTTAACTATTTATGTTAATTCATGATGATAAATAAATTATATGTCTAGAATAATAACTCAAATTTATAAATTAAAAAATTTAATTTTTTTATGCCTAAATATTTTTTAATGAAAACATTTTATTTTGTATTTTCAAACAACTTTGTTTAACTCCAAGCGTATGGTTTAGTGGTAGGGGTTGATCCACGCTTAAGCAAGGTCAGGGGTTCGAATCCTGCCTTGTGTATGCAGCCGCGTTAAATCTTGAAGCCAGCTATCCCACCCTTTGAGGTGCCTCCAACGTAGCGAGGATACTCCAGGACGAAACAAAAAAAAAACAACTTTGTTTTATGCATTGACCATTTAAAGGTCAATTTGTCAAACCACTTGTCGGAATTAAATATTAAAAAAAATATATCGTAAACCTTACCATTTGGAATTTTCGATTTTCAATCAAAAGTAAGTATTTTATTATTATTTTTCTGCTGAACATATCCTGATTTGTTCATTTTTATTCTCTACATAAATATATTTTTGCATAGATTGTTATTTATGAATCATTTAAACTGAAATTATTATACAACTGATCAACTAAATTATCGCTTGAATTTAGTCGTGTTTATATTAACAAACTTTGACAATATTACATAAAACTGATATATATTGAAAGTTCATGATCAGAATAAATTCACAAAATGTCATAATTATATACTTTTAAATATGTACATTACTCATAAATATTTGTTTAATGTTGATTTCATACTACTGTGTTAATTTTATTCACATATGGTAATAGTATTATTTTGAAAATCAGATTAAATTGGTGAACGGGTTAGGTGATTTGATCAAATAAATTATAGAATTGACCTGAAAGAAAAATTAGTCAAACAATCAAAAAATTCGGTAAATTAATATATTAACAGATGATTAATAACTTAATACATATTAATATAATTTGATAAAAAAATATATCGTATATGGTATAAATATATTAGTGGAAGATTAAGTGAAAAATTATTATATAAATATAAATTTTGTTATATGTTCTTACCATAATATAATAAGATTGGATATTAAAATTCTTTATCTTTAGGGTTTAGGGTTTAGGGTTTCATGTTCGATCTTTTTGTCAATCTTAATTTCTTTTGAGTTATTTGTATGAGAGATGAGTACTTATAAAAGGAATTTTGATGATTAAGGTAGTCTATATCGACCCATTTATCATATTTTATTAATATACATACCATGATTCTTAGTAACCAACTACCCTTTCATAATTTATTAATATACATATTTTTGTTTTTTAGTAACTACTCAACTACTCCTTCAATTCAAGTAACCAGTCTCATATAGTTTTTTTTTTCTATATCATAATGTTTATCATTATAAACGTCTATTCAGACTTACGTAGTTTTAAATCATACTAGTCTACTAAGGTTGAATTAGCTAACCAATCTCTCAAGGTTGGATTAGTCAAACTTATTTATTCAAGTTAGTACACTAACTAAAATATACAAATTAGATATTCAATATTTTATATCATATACTTTTATTTAAATTATTCTAATACATTTATATTTATTAAATTATTAATTATCTATTATTATGCTAATAATATTATTAATACAAATAGTATATATGCTATAATTTCTTCTTTTTTTTTAATGGTGATAAATGTATCTTCAATTTCACTTTTTATGTATTACAAGTTATTACTTCCATTTATATATCATAAAAGAAATGTTAGCAAAAACATCTTTAAACATATTATTCCTAACATACTCTATATTAGGAACTAAAATTTGTTGAAAATCATAAATTTTTGTGTCTCAATTCTTATTCAGTATAGTTCACTTATATTTTTAATTTTTAAATAAAATTTAATTAATAAAAAAAGTTCTTGCAAAAAATTGTAATAAAGAGTATATTTCTAATATTTTTATGTAAAAAAACCAATTAACTTTGAGTTCATCACCTTTTTATTTATCTCTATTTTACTTTTTCTCAATCAAATAACATCGCTTATTTTTATTCTCCTATTTTTACTTTCTCTATCATATTCTATTTCTTTGCTACCAAACAAAACATAAAAGGACAAAAATCATACATAGGTTAATTGATTTATTTGATATAGAAAAATCATTAAAAACCCTGGTTAAAGTTGATGAAATAATTCGTTTTTAAAATTTGATATTGATAATTAGCATAATAAAAAAACAACACTAAGCAGGTGTAATTGTGATAGATTTATAATAATGATTATGATAGAGATTTGAGGGAAGGTGGAAACGCGTGAGGGAAGAGGAAGGTAGAGACTAGAGAGATAGAGAATGAGGCCATAACAAAAGACAATCTTTGAGTCTTTAAAGACTCTGTCCTTCTTCTTAAATTATAATTACAATTTCAGAATCACAGACACCACTCAGTATCTCAAACTCAAAACAAAGCTGCCTACACCAATGCCTCTTCTTCATAAACATGTCATTCAACATTTTCACCATTCATTGTTTTTTTTATTTTTTTATTTTGCGTACCATATATAAATTCAGGAATTTAATACTATTCATGCCGTAAGCAACTCCTGTGCTACATCATTGTCATATTAATTTTAATTCATTTTATAGATTGTTTAAATTTTAGCAAAATTGCTTGTAGAAGTAATTTTGTTAAAAAAATGAGATAGTAATAAGGTCAAAATTATAATTGTTATTTAATACTAAATTTATGATATATATAGGATATTATATAATCAAATATATCGAATATGGAATGTATATATTCGATTATATACATATAGTCAATTGTATATAATTTATGTTAAATTAATTATTCATTTAAAATAATTATTTTGCTTAAATAATAAATAAATATTTTATCAATAATTCTCTTCAGAAAAAATTTATCAATAATTATATAAATATTCATGTTTAATTATAAACTATTTAACAATTGTAATCCACTATATGAAACCACGATTAATTATAGTTTTAGTTAAAGTACTCATAGTCGATTATGACTCTTTTATAAATAAAGTGTTGATAATTTTGACCCAATAAATTTTTATTGATAAATTTATGTAAATTCAACTTTTGAAGAATAGAATTAAATTCTTTTGAGATCCATACCTATTTGTTCTATAATTTACATGAATCATCTCTTTCAAATACATTTTTTTCTCTCAAAATTTAACACTTTTAATGTGATAAAATGTACTTTAAAAAATAAAATACATTCATAATTGTTAATTATAAAATTTAAAATTAAAAATCATGATAAAAAAATTCTAATAAAATAAAATATAAAATTAATTATAATATCAATCATTAATTTTTAATTAATAATTTTTATTACACTTTATTTTCTAAAATACAATTTGTTACTTTAGAAGAATTAGATCGTTCAACAAACTATTGTTAATTCTAGCTCCTATTCATCCTCTCAATTTCATACTAAACCACCTCAAACACGTTTATATATGGAATAAAAAAATTATATTTTTAATAATAAAAAATATAACATTTTAGTTTATATAATTTAGTTTAGTCTTTATAATTATATGAATTTTATTTTTTAATTTATATAAAAATAAATGATAAATATAAAAATTAATATTATAATTTTAACAGTTAATGCTTGAATATTTATTGTAAAAAATTACAAATTTTATAAAATTAAGACTAAAATTATGAAATTAAAAAATAAAATTATAGATGAAATATTGTAAAAAAATGAATTGTGTAACTCAATTAAAATAAATCTATTTAATTCCTATATTTTCAGTTTTTTAATCTTTTTAATTTTTATTATTAACTTTTCTATATATAATATTATTTGTTTTATGTTAGTATGTAGAGATTTTCAACAAAGTTGAACTGATTTATAATAATTTCAATAATGAGTGTCATAAGTAAATGTACAAAAGATTTAAGAAATATAAAAAAAAACTTAATTTATAATAATTTTAACAAAATAAATTCAATATAAAATATATAAAATTAAATTAATATATTTTTATATCAATACAATAGAAAAAAT